AGAGTACTTTCACTCTAAATTTATAAAAGTTTTTAGTAATGATTCAATCATCCAATGATTCATCGACACCACTCTTAAACCTGTTTCTATTTCTAAGCCACACCCCTTCTTGAGATAACAGATTGGGAGCTGCACTACCAACTGAACCAGACTTGCTCTCTGTTGCAAAAGCACTTCTGTCAGAGCGAAGCTCCACTAGGACCCAACTTCAACTAGCCAAGGAAAACTGTTTTTAAGTTTACATGTTAAATCAAAGACAACTCTTCCTTCTTTCAGGAAGTATGGGGAAGTTAATTCCTCAGGATGGCAGGTTCCACTGCATTTTGTTGAGGACAGAAGTGAGGCCTCAGTGAGTGGAGAGAAATGATCACTTTGTCAGGACGACACCCTTGATGTCCCTGTGCTTCCTAAGGAATTAAGACTCTGAACATGTTTATCCAAATCTTTTTCCATAGTTCAGTATTATTATAATAGGCACATCAATTTAACTAATAGGTCACAGAAAATAACAGTGTGGAATTTTAAAATTGACTTAAAGAGGAAATATGCCTATTGTCTAACGTTGCCGGGGAAACATTCCATATAAACTCAACACATCTGACATGATTATAGCTAAGAAAAAGATCTTGTCTGTGAAAGAAACACATAGTCATTTTAATTTAGTTGTAGTTCTTCCTCATATATAGTAATACAGCCATTAATTTTTCTACCAAATAAATACACTTTTTCATCCTTAGGGGAAAATGACATTTTAAAGGAAATGGTAATTATCTCCATGAGACACAATCAAGGACTTGTAGGAAATGAAGGTGCTGCATTCCACATCATTTTGACCCCTTAGGCTGTTAATTCCTGTACAGTTCATTGTCAAAAAATTGTATTTATGCCCAATGTCTAATAAATATCAAAATACCTTCTCACAGTGTCAGCAGTGTATTTTTTGCTAGAATGAAAGTCTTAATAATTTCCAAATATAAATGAGGTCCAAATGCCAGAGATTTCTATATGCCAGACATGATTCTGAACAAAGATTGCTTCCATAGTTTTTTTTAGAACTATGCTCCCCATTGAGACACTTTCTAGATTTCACTTCCAATATGAATAGATACTTTTCATGGAAACTTCCTCTTTTTATCTACAAATATTGTATTATCTGGGGTAGTATAACCACTAATAAGAAAGTAACTCCATCTGTGAGTGGATAAACTTGACCTATAGCCTCATAAATATAAAGATTAGAGTGCCATCATGTGAATCAAAGTGTGAATTAATAACCTGTATTTCCTAGTCCATTTGGTTGATAGTCTATGAAAATTTAATTGTCCTTTCTTTAGCATTTTATTCTTTTGGCTGATTTTTAAATCTTTCCTCTGGAACCCATAGCAGGACCCATGTTTCATTATGGGTGGCAGCAGACCTTCAAACCGTCCCTGCAAACTGCTGGAGTTGGCAGGCCAAACAGTACTGCACGTGTTTTATTCCACATTCTGTGGTGTTTACAAATCTACACTCCCTGCAAAATGCTTCCATGTTTCTGAGCTACAGTCACCTATTTGCAATCAGAATTTTAAAAATTCACTAACATACACTGCAATTTGAACCCTTAATAGTTGGATTCTTCCTCCATTAGAGTGCCTCTGTTTTACGTTTTTATTAAGACGTAACTTCCAACATAAGTAACATATAGTCAAATCAAGTCAAGGGAATCAATATCCGAAGTCGACTCCTTGTCACTCTCTGTGTTGTGTGTCATTAGAAGTCTTCATCATCCCACTTTCAACCTCTTTTTAAATGAAGCTAAAATAATACTTATTTTGAAAGCTTTACTGCAATAGTTTGCATAACCATGTATGTTAAATGTGAATGGTTTTTAAATGTAAAAGACTATAAAATTATTTTTGTAAAACTGTTACGAAAAAAGTCATAGTAGAAGAAAAGCATGTAGCCTTATTCTGCAGTCTGAACAGAAGTTAGAAAGTGAAGGAAAAAAACAGTGCTTACAGAAATAAGAGAAAATATAAGAAAGCATTAGAGTTTCATGAACTAGGAGGAAAAAGTGTCAAAACATTTTTGCAGAATGATATTAAATGTTGCACAGTTCTCACCAAGCATGAAAACACACACACACACACATACACACACACACATTTCAATTTGGCCATAAGGGCATTAACAGACCCTTTTAAAAAGGCCATTTTCACCAAGACTTACAAGGGAGATCAAATTTGAAAGGATAAAAGAGAAAGTGGCCAGAATGGCCAAGGGAAGGCCCTAGTAAACAAATTCATTAACTTGCCAGCTAAGGGGAAGGAGGAGAAAGAGAAGATAAAGGAGAGAACTGTTCTGAGGATGGTTCAAACTTAAGGCAAAGTTGAACCTTGAATGAAAGCTTAAGTCCACAGGGATGAAAAGACTAGAGATATAATTAAAGTAAAAGTTTCAGAGTAATGTCTTTGGCAATTGGAAAGAGATGTCAAAAGCCCAGGTGGAGATATTAGCTTTACAAAAATAGAGATAACTCTTCCTATGATGCTGGTAGAATAATACCTTGAAGAAAGAGTAGAATTCTGTTGGTCAGTGTAAGCACTGAATTATGTTTCAGGAGCAGAAGTCAGAAAGTTTGTATAACTTGCCTCACTTACCATAGATTGTTAACCCCTAGAAGAACCAGGAAAAAGGTCTGGATATCCTAACCTTCCTTACACATGTATATACATTGAGCCATAAGAATATTCAAGCATGGCCCTGGCTGGTGTGGCTCAGTGTAGTGTGTACTGAGAACCAAAGGGTCACCAGTTCGATTCCCAGGCAGGGCACATGCCTGGGTTTCAGGCCAGGTCTCCAGTTGGGGGCATGTGAGAGGCAACCACACATTGGTGTTTCTCTCCCTCTTGTTCTCCCTCCCTTCCCCTCTCTCTAAAAATAAATAAAATAAAACATTTAAAAAGATTTAAAAAAAGAACACTCAAGCGTGGTTTAGATCAATGATATCTGTGAAGAACAAAAAGTCACTTGGAAGTCTTATCAAATTTAGAGAAATTCAGTTAGATGTTTATGTATAATTTGTCGATAAGTAAAGTGAGGCTTAAATAAATTAGATTTATTGCCAAAAGTAAAGCTGAGGTACATCCTAGAGTTCTTATTAACATTTTGAAATTACTTTTAATTGTCAAAACTATAGAGTCAGGTTAATACATATATTATTAATAAAATCATAGCCTCCTGATAATTTTGTTTGAGAAACAGTGTTTTTAAAGTTTAAAATATAATTGGCATTTCCATGTTTTCGTTCCCTTATGAATGGTAAGTTATATCACTGATGACTTCTCTTACTAATTACAGGTGTATATTAACTACACACGCACACATGTGCATATAATGTGAATTGATAATGCAAAAGGAGGAGCAAGTGATCCCCTATGACCACATTTTAAATTTCTAATAGGATTAAGCAATTGACCCACTCAATCTATTGCAGTCAGATAACATCTTGAGTATAATTAATGAATTTGACAAAGTATCTCTTATTATCCTTGTGGATTACATGGAGAGTTGGAGTTAGAAGAATTAGGTGGGCTTACAATTAAAATATCAATCACATCTAAAGACTATTGATTATTTATATCAACAGGGAAATACCACTGATTCCTTAGCCCCATTGTGTT